CCTTCGGATGATGCATGAGTAGTTTACCTTAGACATACGGGTCCATAACTAGTAGCTAGATGACTTCTTCTCTCTGTTTGATCTTCAATACAATATTCTCCTTGATGTTCTTTGGAGATCTATTTGATGTAACGATTTTTTGTGGTGTGTTTGTTGGGATCCAATGAATTATGAGTTTATGATCAGATTTATCCATAAATATTATTTGAGTTATTTCTGAACTCTTTTTCGCATGATTATGATGGCTTCGTATTTCTCTCCGATTTATTGATTTGGTTTGGCCAATTAGATTAATTTTTTTTGCAACGGGAGAGATGCTTTGTAATGGGTTCGATCTTGCGATACTCAATCCCCTGCGCTTATCGGCACATCTTTGCTCTTCCTGATGTGTTTCTTCTCCTGCCCTTTTCAACTTCAGTCTTCTGTATCTTTCATATGAATTGGAACCCCTCAGTCCGAAATTACCTGTCGCGAAAATGAATAGAAATGGATCTTTCTCAAATTAAAATACGTCTAGATAGATCAGTTCTGCGACAAGTATTTCCGGACGGAAGGAGTATTTAACAAAGGCGTGATCCTGTTCAGGTTCTCTGGTTTCTTAACACATTACAATCACAGATGCTCACACACACATATATACTCACCCCTATGAACGCACACACGCACACCCTATCCTTATGAGCACCTCCGATATACTAAGCCGACACAATATCTTGAGATTAACGAAGACACCACGGCCGCCTCGTAAATCGATAAGAACATCTCCTCCCACTGAACGAATATCGCTAGAAAGATTGAAATAACCTTAGCTTCCAAGTCATGAATATGAATCAATCCATGATTTATTTTAACTTTTTTGAGATAATCTAAGTTTATATTTCTACACATATCTGTCCTTGGAGGGGGCATGGGCTGCTGGATGGCCCAAGTGGGCTCTTGGTGGCACTGATAGCTTTATGTCCGCAATATGTGGAGCGCCTCTATGTATAGGCGTGGCTATGTGAAGCCCACATCGGTTCCTATCGCAGTGTCGTCTGCCCAGTGACTGCGCCTGCTGATGTAATATTGAGGTCACCCATGTTTTTCCTTATTTCATCACATTTTTGTTATATTTTTGTACCATTGTTTCTCATTTCAAAATATTATATAGTTATTTTTCACCCCTCTCTATTTTGACATTAATGGACCATATTTTTATGTTTCGTAAATTTTGTCTTATTCGTACATAAAAACAGAATGTAAGAAAATATGTACTCGCCGTAAAAATTATTTTATGTTATGTAAAATTACGAATGTAAAAACATAGTGTAAAACATACATAAAATGTGATTTTTATGGTCTTATAACCTCGGGTGTCTTCGTTATATTCTAAACGTAATTTATTTAGGAATCGATCGTAAGATTACCTCGGGTGAAGAATAACTTATTCTGCACACTGGGTGATGAATAGTAATACTATAAGGATTGACTATTCTCACGCTAGGTGAGGAATAGTTATTCTTCACCCCTCTCTATTTTAACATTAATGCACCGTAATTTCACATTCCGTAAATTTTTTTCCTATTTCATACATAAAAAGGGAACGTAAGAAAATATATAATCACCGGAAACAATATTTTATCTTACATAAAGTACAAACATAAAAAGTAATGTAATATACATGAGACACAAATTTCTGGTCTTATGACCAATATTTTTGTTTTCTTATACCAAATTTTACGTAGTTAATCAATATGAATGTAACTATTTGTATTCCAAATGTAATTTATTTATGAAGTGATCGTAAGATTACCTCGGGTGAAGAATAAATTATTCTACACTCTGAGTGATGAATAGTTAAACATGCATTTGAAAAATGTTAAACATGTATAAAAAATTATAAATCATGGGTACGAAAAATTTTCTGACATTCAAAAAATTTCACATGCTTAAAAATTTACGTGCCATTTAAAAAAAATCTTTTATACAATTATAAAAGTTTGCGTAGTTCAAAAAATGTTTCATACATTCAACAAATGTATGTTACATTTAGGAAAATTGTTCATGAGTTTCAAAAAAACAATTCAAATATTTTCATAAAAATTGTATATAATATAGAATATAAAATGTTTGCATAATGTAAAGAAATGTTTCATACACTTAAAGTGTGTGTGGCATTTTAAAGAAAAATACCGGCACTTCAAAAAAATGGTCCTGACAATTAATAAAAATATAAAGTGCAAAAATGTTAGATTAGATTAAAAAAATTTATTTTCATTGAAATGTACATGAAATTATAAAGAAATATCCACATGTTTACAAAAAATATTTGCAAAAAATATAAAAGTGTCTATTCAATGTAAAAAATGTTTTTGTAATTTAAAGGTATTTGTTGCCATTAAAAATGTACAAGGTGTATTTGGAAATTGTTACTGTGTATTCAAAACATGTATTTCAAAAATTATAGATCATTTATCCAAAAATTATCTCCCAGGTGCTTTAAAAATGTAAATTGTATGCCAAAAGAAAAAGTAGACATGAGTTCAATAAACGTTAGCCGATAAAACCACAAAGAAACAAAAAAAAGGAAAGAAAAAAACCAAAGAAAACAAAGAAAACAAATTATTAAAGAAAAAAACAAATATAGTGAAGAAAGAGAAGAAAACTGAGAAAACCCAATGAGAAAACAAAGAAAACTAATTTTGTTTTTGCAAAATAAAGAAAATCAAATTAAAATAAAGAAAAAAAGGAAAGCTGAAGAAAACCGTGACAAACAAATAAAACCAACGAAAATACAACAAGAAAATGAAAACGAAAAAAAGGAAAGAAAACCAGACCGATCAAATGTACAACGATCGTTACAAGCGGACTACCATGCTAAAGGGGTCAACCGGCTAGTGTGTCGCCCATAGGCGATTCCTAGTAGGAATCGGTACGGGCGACCCATCGTTGTCGTGTCTATGTATGACTCGAAGCAATTTCTATGCGTGTGTCGTCTACAGGAGCCGACCCAGTAGCCACGTGGCCTCGACATGCTGATGTCGTGCCAATGTTGCATATTTTTTCTCTACCCAGTAGGAGCCGAGCTGGGTGATCTTCCCGCCGAGCTGCCTCTGCGCGAAGGCGAAGAGCCTGCCTCCGCGCATCCCATCCCGCGCCTTCCAGGACGCGAACCACAGGTTGAGGCTCCGCAGAGCGCGCTGCAGCTCGTCCCGGCTGATCTGGCCGTCGTGGTCCGCGTCGAACTGCCCCAGCCACGCCCATGAACGCCATCGATCGAGAACGAGCTCCGCTTTGATCGTTTGCTACCCTGGGCTGCTGCTTCCCTCTATCGGAGTGCGAGCAGCTGATGTGATTGTGATGAGAATTGGGCAGCGATCCACCGTCCTATATATAAGGGGGAGCAGGGTTTGCAGCGGCACAGTTACCGCACATTTTTCACAGCTCCAAGGACGCGCGTTTGTATATGACGCGTAAATATTTCACTCGGCTTGGGTGATTTCAGGTTAAAGAATGGGTCGACAGCTAGTGGCCTAGTGGGGTTTTACCAAGGGAATAATCAGCGGTGTAGCTTAAAAGTGCTTCCTTTTATCCTTTAGAGTTGGATTAGGCGAGTGGCATATAATTAGTCTAGAAATGTAGGCTGTAGGGAGCTAATTAAGGGGTTGTATATGATCATATCTTGAGAATCAACATATAACACTTGACAAAAGTATTTCAAGCGCACACTTTCAGAGGTTGGCTACACGTATTTGATGCTCAATCCGTTTCTTTTAAGTATGGGATGACAATCAGGGTCGTACAATTGTACAAACCACTGGAAACAAGGGAGTTAGGGACGATGATACGCGTCAGAAAAGAACCGCCCGCCTTTTGAGCTGTTGGATTCGTGCACTAGAAGCTGCCCATCAGCCGTTTAGTGCAACGCGTCAACTCATCAAGACGAAAGTGCAACAATGGTCCATGTTGCGGTTTCCTCGAGCTTGCATGGCAAACATGTGGGTCACCATGTTGTGGTCAACTCCAACAATGATAATGACAACACCAAGCAGGCAACTCGCCGTAGCTCCACCTCCGGCTTGTAGCATCCCCATGGAGAGCGGTGCTCATTGTTGCGTTGCATCACGCCACTTCGGAGAAGCTGCCCTGCTAAAGGGGAGGACGTGATGACGTGATGTCGCCGTTGTAGCGTTCGACGCCGTGCCGTATGTGCCTCCGCCTAGGCTAGAGTTCGTGGCCGTTGTGTGCCAACGTGGAGTGGTGCTAAGCCGTTCGCCTACCCTCCTCCATCAGCCATTGTCGAAGCCGATGCGCTGCGATCCTGTTGGGTGTCCTTGATTTGAATTTGCCTTAGGACAATCCTAGAGTTTCAATAATTTTAAAGTGGAGAGAGTATTTCTCTTCCAGCAAAACTAGGCTTACAATACTCTAGATTGAGCATCACCTCCAAGCCAACGTTTATGACATAGCATTAGCATGAGTCAGTTTACCCTGTCGAATATTATCAATGGTCCTTCATAAGTTAGAAACATTGTCAATAGCTTTGATACTAAAGAGTTGAATCTGAATGGAGTGTGCTCGGTTAACTGGAAAAAAAAACCCCAAGAGTTGTGGTTTTCCGAAACCTTCACCACAGTTGGTCGTGGTTTCTTAATATTCTGCCTGGGATCACATTATGCAAGTATTAGAAATAAAATAAAAAAAATTCTTGCAAAGGATGCGTTTATTTATATTTTACACAGGAAATGCACCGACGTATTTGGCAACACTCAACGGGCAGAACATAAGCAAAATAATCTACAGAGCCTGGAGAAACGTCCATCATGTCTAACAACTCTGCAAATCTCCGCAGAGTTTGCAGTGCTGAAAATACAAAGTAGGAAACCCTTGGGAAACCACTGCAAAGGTTGCCCCAAGAAATCCGAAAACACAAACATCCATTTCATTCGCAGAAAAAAAAATCTCATACTCCACACACCCCACGTGTCAGAAGCTGGTCTGAGTTACAGCAGCAGATCAACTCATGCCCAGTTTGATCCATAGGAACCGAGCTGGGTGATCTTGCCGCCGAGCTGCCTCTGCGCGTAGGCGAAGAGCCGGCCGGCCTCCTCCCTGCCGACGGCACCGTCGCGGTTGGCGTCCGCGGCCTGCACCCCTTCCCGCGCCTTCCAGGACGCGAACCACAGGCTGAGGCTCCGCAGCGCGCGCTGCAGCTCCTCCCGGCTGATCCGGCCGTCGTGGTCCGCGTCGAACTGCCCCAGCCACGCCCAGAACTCCTCCGCGGTCACCTCCCCCTGCGGCAGCGCACGGTACCGCATGAACGCCATCGATCCTCCTCCCGCCGGAGCCGGGCAGGCGGGCACGATGTGCTAGCCTTTGTCGATTAGCTAGCCTGGCTGCTGCTTCTCGCTGTGTGAGTGCGAGTGTGAGCTGGGTGATGACTGATGAGGATGTTGAGCGGCCGCGCACGCTGCTATATATACGGTGGAGCCTGAACAGTTACCGCACGTTTTTCACAACTCCACGGACGCGCCTTGTTAGTTGCCGTGTGTTTCACTTGGGTGATTTGGGGTTTAAGAAATGAGTGGGTCAGTAGTGGGGATGTGGCTGGGGAATAATCAGCGGTGTAGCTTAGAAGCTCGTTCTTTAGAGAACGGTTAGGCGAGTGGCACATTGTTAATCTCGAAATGTAGGGGGCAAAGGGGTTGTATATCTCAACAAATGTTGAGAATCGACATAAAACTTGCCAAAAATATAGCTAGCATACTTGGACGTTGGCCACACTTTTGGGATTCCCAGTCGATGGGGGTACAAACATCTACTCCCCTCGAACTATAGGATGAGTGAAGTGCACTGTAGGTCCTTAAACTATTTCAGGGGTGTCATATAGGTCCTCGAACTATGAAAATCGTCATTTAGGTCCTCGAAGTACAGTAAGTGTGTCATCCAGGTCCAAAATCTCACTAACCCCCTCTAAATGGCCAGTTGGCATGGTGAACAGTGCGAAAAATAAAAAAATATGAACAAAAAAATCTGAAAATCTTTGGCATCAAAGATACCCCTGGTGCGTGAATAGTAAAAATGTTCATTAATTCAAAAAAATGTTCGCGAATATGGGAAAAATATTCGCGACTTTAAAAAAGTTCACAAACAATAAATTTGAAAATATGTTCGCGAACCACAAATATTGTTCGTGGGTATGGAAAAAAATGTTCGTGAACCACAAAAATTCCTGACTTTAAAAAATGTTAGTGAACTTTTTATTAAAGTCACAAATATTTTTTCCGAATTCATCGTTCGCGAACATTTTATTAAAGTCACGAATATTTTTTCCAAATTCATCGTTCGTGAACATTTTTTTAAAGTCATGAATATTTTTTCCAAATTCATCGTTCGCAAACTTTTTTTAAACTCGCGAATATTTTTCCCAAATTCATCGTTCGCGAACATTTTTTTAAAGTCGTGAATATTTTTTCCAAATTCATCGTTCGCGAACTTTTTTTAAACTCACGAATATTTTTTTAAAGTCACGAATATTTTTTTCCAAATTCATCGTTCGCGAACATTTTATTAAAGTCACAAATATTTTTCCAAATTCATCGTTCGCGAACTTTTTTTGAATTAACGATATTTTTACTGTTCACGCGTCAGGGTCTCTTTGATGACAGAGGATCTCGGTTTTTTTATACTTTTTATATTTATTCTTTGTCGTGTATTGTTCATCACGCACAGGAATTCAGGATTGTTTGCCGTGTACTGTTACGGTTACTGTTTATGTGCCAGCTGGCCAGTTAGAGCCTGTCAGGGAGATTTTGAACCTGAATGACACACTTACTGCACTTTGAGGACCTAGATAACGATTTTCATAGTTCGAGGACCTATGTGACATCCCTGGAATAGTTCAAGGACCTACAGTGCACTTCACTCTTCCTAAATATAAGTCTTTTAAGAGATTCCACTATGAACTACATACGGAGCAAAATGAATAAATCTACACTCTAAAATATGTCTATATACATCTATATATAGTTTATAGTGGAACCTCTAAAAACTTATATTTAGGAACGGAGGGAGTAAAAAAATAAGAGTTGAACACTTCGACTTGCTTGGCTAAATCCTTTTCAATCCTCAATCGGTAATGTAAAAGAAAAAGTTCCGCGTCTACGTATTCCCTCCTGTTTTTTTAGTCTGCATATAAAATTTGGTTATCAAGTTTGACTAGCTTTATAGAAAAAAATATAACATTCACAATATGGAAGTGACATTATTAGATGCATCATGAAATTAATTTTCATATCATATAGTTGTAGTATTGTAGATGTTGATATTTTTTCTTATAAAGTTAGTCAAACTTTACGAAGTTTGACTTTGACCAAATTTTATATGCAGACTAAAAGAAATGGAAGGAGTACTTGTTTTAAGAAAGTACTTGTTACAATACCTTTTTTAGAAAGTATACCACTTTGTTTTTTGAGAAAGTACTTGTTACAACAATTAAAAGGTTAATTGAGCATATTTTCTTGGAGAAGGACTCGGACATAGTTTTGTGACAAGTTTTTTTTGTTGCGAAAAATGCCCATAGAAAGAGGTTACTTGTTTCCTAGCTAAATTATCAAGTGTAAGGATGGGCGCGCCAAAATTTCAGGTGAGCATTTGATTGGTTGTCATAGTTATGTGTTGCTACACAAAACTTGTCTTTTTGGTGAAGTTATAGCTTAGAACCAACTATGCCATAAAAGCTAGGAGTGTAGTTGAGCTATACTACATTCCTCTGGTTTATTGGGTCTCCTTGTATTTTGGCTCAAACTTTCACCTTTGATTTAACTATCAAAAAACAAGTTATCTACCAAAAAATAGTATCATTGAAAACCTCTTCCATAGATGAATCCAACAATAAGTTCTATGACAGACAATTCATATTTTGTTGGTCAAATTTATGTTATAATTTGACATGAAATACAATGGGGATCAATAAACCCAGATGGAGATAGTAGGTGGCAGTTGGATACCAAACTTTAAATTTAATGATTAGCAGCCTCAAATATTTTAGCCAATCCACTTATCTCTAGCCATAAGGCGGCTAATGATATGTTGAGTAAATAGGCAATTTCTCGATTAAATAATTCCATGAGTAAATCACTAGCATGGCATTGACTAAGTTGATGACGTACTGACTTTGATCTAAACATGCACGTACTAAGCAAACAGTAGAGAAATCTACACATACTGCTAGTACTGCTAATATGAAATTAATCAGGAGTGGGATAAACGAGTTATACCCTCCAGTAGGCCATGCAGAGGCCGCGGCTTTGGTGGCAGCAGCGGCGTCCTCGGCGGCCTTCTTGTCGGCTTCAGCTTTCTCGGCGGCGGCACGGTCGGGGTCGGTGGACATGGTGATGATGAAGGCAACGCGGACGTAGAGGAAGTAGACGATCGGAAGCGAGCAGTCGCGTAATCGCTGCCCAAAAACCTATTTGCCCCTCACCCCGTACAGGAACCAGAAGGGCGTGGTTTCAGAGACCTGCTCTCCCGTCGACCGTGTACGCGGTGAACGGGATGGAGTCACCGACGGCAGCAGCAGTAGAGGAACGACGTGGGCATGGAGGCGGAGATGTGTTCTGTTTTCGCGGCGGCTAGGGTTGGCAGCGCCCCACATATATATGTGCGGCCGCGCGTGGAGAGACGTGGGCTGAACCCACGTCCAAGTCGGTAGCCCACGATCCGACGTCTCAGATCGTGGCCCTACCTGTCAAAGACTCTCCGTTCCTGACCGGCAAAAGAAGCGCATAGGAGCGAGCTCGGCTCGGCTCAATCCCGCAACCCGCGGCGCGTCATGACGAGGCGTGGCGTGGCGAGGCGAGCGGAGGAGGAGTGCGTGAGGGCCTCTTCTCTTCTCAAGCTCCAATAGCATGTAGAAGAGCCACCCTTATAAACCACTCCAACTTTCCTTCCACTAGCATGGTGGGACTAAACTTCCCACCACCTTGTCATGCCACCTACATGGGCCCTTAGAGATCAAATCTGAAATTGTCATATAGGCTCTAGGCCCATTTCACATTTCAACAATCCCCCACCAGATCTCAGGGGCCCACTTTGTCCTTTGTTCCAAACGTTGTTTTGATATACTAGTGTTTCAGTGAAGACCTGTTAAGGTTGAGCTTCACCTAGAGCAAGTAGCTACACTCCTTCACAACTGAACAATGGACTATGCCTTGAATTGTCAGTTTGGCATAAAGAAGTTTCACCACATGTCTTACTAGTACTGGGCTGCCGAAGGCTGACCCCTCGGGTGGAGCATATAAGTCACACTCCTGCCCTATTCATGAGCTTACTAGAGATCACCCCAATCTCATAGACTGTGACTAGCAGTCGGGCTCACATAGGTGTGTTCCTCCAAAGATCGCTCTGTAGGATAGCATCTTGCTTATACATATAAGCCTTGGAACACATTAAGACAGTAGTCATCCTTCCATACAGTTTCCGAGAGTATTGCATCTCCAACGGAGTGGGTTAGTAAAGTTACTCTCCTCAGTTCACCACTGGCTTGTTTCACAGGTCCTACTTCACGGGATCTCCGATCACATAGGTTGGGTTACCACCATGGCAACTCATGTGGGTCTCATACCCATCTCCCTCGATGCACTATCTATCACTACACGTGATAGCCCTTTCGTAAAGGGATCTGCCAGATTCTTAGCCGTATGGACATAGTCCAGCGTTATCAGTCCGGAGTTTCTTAATTTTCTGACAGCTTTTAATCTCATTCTTATGTGTTTGTTGGACTTCATGTTGTCCTTTGAACTCTTCACCTTGGTGATGACAGTCTGATTGTCACAGTTCATAAGGATAGCCGGAACCGGTTTATCAACCAGTGGCAAGTCCATCAAAAGATCTCGAAGCCATCCTGCTTCAACACCAGAAGTGTCTAATGTTGTTAATTCTGCTTCCATTGTCGATCTCATTAAGATCGTTTGCTTGCAAGACTTCCAGGAAACAGCGCCACCTCCAAGAGTAAACATATACCCAGTTGTGGCCTTCATCTCATCAGCATCAGAGATCCAATTCGCATCACTATACCCTTCAAGTACCGACGGGTCTCCGGTATAGTGAAGTCCATAGTTCATAGTACCTTTCAGATAGCGCATAACTCTTTCAACAGCATGCCAATGTACGTCACCCGGTTTGGAAACAAACCGGCTCAGTTTGCTCACAGCAAACGCGATGTCAGGCCTCGTTGCGCTCGCTAGGTACATCAGTGAACCAATGATTTGAGAGTATCTCAATTGAT